AAGGGGGGGGTTTTTATTTTTTTATTATTTAAAAAAAAAATTTTAAAAGGTTTAAAAAAAAAGTGAAGTTTTTTGGGGGCGTTTTAAGGTGGGAAGGGTTCCTGATTTGCGATGAATCGTTTATCGATGGGGAGATTCTGTATTATTATAATCATAGGAATACGCTAAACCCGTAGGATTATACAGCACCTGTGGGGGGATGTGGAAGGTATTCAGGCATAATTCAGGGAGCTGGAGAACAGATCCAATCCCCTAGATCTAGATCCCCTCACCAGCATGATGGAACCTCCCTTGAGGGGTTAGCACTCTGTAACTTATGATTAGTTGTAAGTAGCCTGTAAGCATCTGCCTGAAATGTCATGGCATGTTTGTGGCTCTCTTTGTAATTAACAACACTTTATAAAACGTAATTCACACCCTGTATCCTTTGCTAAGAAATAAAATTTGTATTTTATCTCCATGGGGAAGTGGAAACAGAATTCTTCCTCCAAAAGGCATGTGTGCTGTAAGAGGCCACTAAAATAGCAGGAGAGGCTAGTAACACCTCTTGTATAAATTACTAAATTTATGAAGAAAAACTTTTGTTTTTCATTTTAGGTCAGTTTGGTTCTGTGGGATATGGCTGGTGTATTAGAAAAATATATTCATTTTCAAATCTACATTTACCACTCACTGTAAATTAGGGAAGAAAATATTTTAAGGTAAGCATTGTGTACATCCTATACTCATCTTATTTTCATATTTAAAATATATATTATTTTCGTACTTAACATATTACAGGCAGGTCTTGCTTTACAGTGCTTCGGTAATGCAGCAGTTTTTCAATTATACCCATTCTGCATGTATTTTTCCAGACTTTCTACAATATATTCACCACTCACTATAATGAGAAAATATTTTAAGATAAGTAATGTGTGTTATGTGTACTCACTTTTAAGGCTTACTTCTTTTGCTCACTTAATATATGATAGTGTAAACATTTGAAAGTGCAAAAATGCCGTTTCACTTTTCGGCACAGGTAGGTGACCTAACCCTCAGTATTAGTACAAACAGTAATGACACCTGATTTGTTGATGATCCTATATAACTCTAGTGTTTTTAAAGGGATGGATCGGTAAGCCATTGGAAGGCCTAGGTCAGATGACACTAAGCTCCGATGGCAGGTCATCTGACTAGACCTACATCAGGAAACACTCGTCCTGTTTACTCAGAAACCTAACCTCTAGTGTATATTTGACCTGGTTGATGATCCTATATATTTCTAGTGTATATTTGACCTGGTTGATGATCCTATATACTTCTAGTGTATATATGACCTGGTTGATGATCCTATATACTTCTAGTGTATATATGACCTGGTTGATGATACTATATACTTCTAGTGTATATATGACCTGGATTGTTAATGAAGATTGGAAATATACCTCTGGTGTATGTATGAAGTGTGTGACGGTAGTTATTATGAAGTTTGACAACACTTTGGACTTTCAGAATTGTTTGTATATTTAATATGAGCACTAATTGATAAGTTATTTAATTGAATTCAATACTGTTGAATTATATTATTGATATAAAATAATAATATAATTCAACCCTGTTTTAGTGTAAAATGTAACAATTTTTATTTCTACAGGACGACAACAAGCCAGAGGAGTGTAAAGTGTGTTTTAACAATTATGATGATGAACTACGACGGCCACGCACTCTGCCGTGTGGCCACACATTCTGCTCACAATGTATTGAAGATACAATAAATGATGTTCAACTAACCTGTCCCAGCTGCCGTGCTGAGCACAGCGCCACAGCTGCTACTCAATTCCCAATCTGTTATGGTATGGAGGCTTTCATAAAGAAATTCAAAAGTATGCAGGTCGCATCAGTGGGTGCGGTGTCAGCAAAACCTGGTCAAGATCACACAAGAGGCATCAGCAAGAAGTTACAGTCTATGGTACAGGAACACAAGAACAGTATCAATAACCTTATAAGTGAGTGCGAAGAAGTATTGTCCCAGCTAGACAAGTATCAGGGGAAGGTGAGGGACTGGAAGACCCAGCACCACCAACTGCAGGAAAGACTCTATGATCTGATGGAGAAGAACATGGCAGCAATAGAGCTCCTGGAACAGGAGGATACCAGTGTGGCGAATATGACAACAGAAGGAGAGGCAGGAAAGAAGCAACTGCAGACAATGCTGGAGTGCCTCGACACAGTCAACACTGCACAGAGGTTGTCACAACCATTGATTAAGGTACCAGTACAAAGTGGAGGTTGAAGTTTGGATCCAGAAGTGTCAAGGGAAATCTTCCCAAAATTCAACACTGTCTCCACCTCAGTAAAGGTACACGGCTGGAAGCCACTACTCTCACTGAACCGAAAGTAACAATTATTTATTTTATTTATTAACACACTGGCCGATTCCCACCAATGCAGGGTGGCCCGAAAAAGAAAAACTTTCACCATCAATTCAATCCATCACTGTCTTGCCAGAAGGGTGCTTTACACTACAGTTTTTAAACTGCAACATTAACACCCCTCCTTCAGAGTGCAGGCACTGTACATCCCATCTTCACGACTCAAGTCCGGCCTGCCCGTTTCCCTGAATTTCCCCTTTATAAATGTTACTTTGCTCACACTCCAACAGCACTCAAATAATTAAAAAACCCTTTGTCTCCATTCACTCCTATCAAACACGCTCACGCATGCCCGCTGGAAGTCCAAGCCCCTCGCATACAAAACCTCCTTTATCCCCTCCAACCTTTCCTAGGCCGACCCTACCCCGCCTTCCTTCCACTACAGACTGATACACACTTGAAGTCATTCTGTTTCCTCCATTCTCTCTACATGTCCGAACCACCTCAACAACCCTTCCTCAGCCCTCTGGACAACAGTTTTGGTAATCCCGCACCTCCTCCTAACTTCCAAACTACGAATTCTCTGCATTTTATTCACACCACACATTGCCCTCAGACATGACATCTCCACTGCCTCCAGCCTTCTCCTCGCTGCAACATTCATCACCCATGCTTCACACCCATATAAGAGCGTTGGTAAAACTATACTCTCATACATTCCCCTCTTTGCCTCCAAGGGCAAAGTTACATAAGAACATAAGAAAGGAGGACCACTGCAGCAGGCCTGCTGGCCCATACTAGGCAGGTCCTTTACAATCCATCCCACTAACAAAACATTTGCCCAACCCAATTTTCAATGCTACCCAAGAAATAAGCTCTGATAACTCTATCCACTCATTTGCAAGTCCCACTCAAATCCAACCACTCTCACCCATATATTTATTCAACCTAAATTTGAAGCTACCCAAAGTCCTAGCCTCAATAACCCAACTAGTTAGACTGTTCCACTCATCAACTACCCTATTTCCAAACCAGTACTTTCCTATGTCCTTTCTAAATCTAAACTTGTCTAATTTAAATCCATTACTGCGGGTTCTCTCTTGGAGAGATATCCTCAAGACCTTATTTATATCCCCTTTATTAATACCTATCTTCCACTTATACACTTCGATCATGTCTTCCCTCATTTTTTCGTCTAACAAAGGAATGTAATTTAAGAGTCTTCAATCTTTCTTCATAAGGAAGATTTCTAATGCTATGTATTAATTTAGTCATTCTATGCTGAATGTTTTTTAATGAATTTTTTTCCCTTCTGAAATATGGGCCCAGAACTGGCTGAAAATTAGGTGAGGCCTTACAAATGAGTATAAAGCTGCAGTATGACCTCTGGACTTCTGTTGCTTCACTCTTGTATGTTTTGGGTAAGACACTATGCAACATTAGTATCTTTTTTTCGAAACGTTTCCCCTACACAGTAGGCTTCTTCATCGATTCAGAAAAGTTGATAGAAGCAGAAGTATTTGAAGACGATGTAATCAGTCCCCCCCTTTTAAAATTTTTTTTTTGAGGCGGTCTTCCCTCAGTTGGGAAGAGAAATGTTCCATATATAAAAAATTGGAGATGAAGTGACAGGTGGGCCTTAATAGCGCCAAGAGGGGACGTAGGTCATAGAAGGGTAAAACTCAGATGTTGGAGGGTTCAGGTCCCCTTCACTTTTGATATAAATAACAATAATCTATTTGCCTTATACGTCGCTTAGGCATGCTGTCTTGTTTAAGGTTGCTGCCACCATAACCCCAAAAGTGGAAATAATTGTATAAAATCGGACACAATGGAAATATAAACACATATGCAGTTAATGTGACCTTATTGACAACGTTTCCCACACAGGGGGCTTTTTCAAGTCACACACAGATCCCCTGGGTGGAAGGTACGGGAGTATTTATAGTCATGTTCAGAATGTTGAGGTTGGGGGAGAATGATGAAATTGATGATTACCGGTTGGGGTTATAGAGTCTGGGAGTTGGGCAGGGGATTGGACAATTTGTGAGTAATCTTCTGCAGTGTTTATTTTTAAAGGGGATAGCGATGAAGAGTTTCTTGGCGAGTGATCAGCTTGTTATAAAACCCGTTGTTTGGGTTTTAAATTTTTGGGATAGAGTAAGCGATGCCCAGGTTCTTGGGTATTAAAGTGTTGTCTTCGGGGCGATAAGTCTTGATTTCTTAGTTAAAAAAAGGGTTTGTGTGAATTCCCGATGTTGTCACAGGCACCCTTGTATCGTCAGTCCTGCTTGCATATTGGTGTTCTAAATACGTTTTTTGGGGGTTTCCCGATGTTCGCCCACATTAATTTGTTGCAGTTTTAAAAAGGGGATTATGTATCCCCCTGCGAGGATGGAGGCTTGCCCTGTCACTATGGTGATGCCCCTGATGATCGGGGTTTGTGGAGGAGTACGGGAATTGTATTGAAAAAGATTTTGGGAAACATCTTTAGCATGGAGTTTGGTGGGGGGGCTATGTATTCTCTGGGCATTTCTTTCTGGGTGTGTTGAAGATGTTTAATGCCCCCCGTCGCAGTCTCTGATGGTGACGGGTAGTGGGTTTAGAAAAATATTGTTCTTTTTAAAGTGCATTTTTCCCTAAAGGGAACTCATTGTGGATTCGGTGCACGCAGGAAGGCTTAATTACACCACTTTTGGTTTTTGGTGTCGTGGTGAGAGTAGAAGGGGAGAAGATCGTTTTTTTTGGGGGTGGGTTTTCGATAGATTTTAAAAACGAAGTTCGGGGGCAGCTTTGCAGAGAAAATCAAGGAAAGGAAGGTGTTGTCGACTTCTTTTCAAGTTAAATGGATTGAAGGTCGCCCCTGGTTGAGCTTGTTTGGGAGCTTGAAGTTGAAGCGTTTAGGAGTTATGAGGAGAATGTCGTCAAAAAACGGAGCCAGTGACGACAAAGGAAAAATGGTGGAGAAACGTTCGGCTTCAGATTTTCCCATGTATAGGTTCGCCAGGACCGATGAGTGGCGAACCCTGGGGCCCAAAAAGTCTGTAAAAGAGGTGTTTTCGGGAAACAGAAAAGCCAAACGTATTCAAAAAGGTCAATGAAATCGCTGGCGGGGGGAAGATCAAGTGAACGTCAATTTTCCTGCGAAAGACGATGGTTTGTGTAATAGGTATTTTTGGTGAATAGGGAAGTCACGTAAGGTGGAAAGTTTCTTTTTCCGATGTTAGTTGCGAATACGATTGAAAGACACCGAGGGTTGAGATGTGCGGCTGATAGTCCCCAAGGTTTAGAGAGGTGTTTTGCGAAAATTTCCCCCGAGAGCTGGTGGGGGCACTTCCTATTCCCGAGGATATGGGCCCTCGGGGATTCCGGGCTTGGGTTTTTTGGGCGGGCCGTACATTCTGGAGGTCTGGGGTTGCTGGGCATGGTGTGCAGAAGTTTTTCCTTGTTTAGCCCTCAGAATGCGGCGACCCTTTTAAAGAAAGTTTTATAAGTTGTCCACTTGGTTAGTTGTGGAGGTTTGTGGGTATCTGGGTCAAAAAAGTGAACTTTTTGCGAATCGTCGGGTTTTCATGATAACAACACCACCTCCTTTATCAGCGTGGTGAGCCGAGGTGTGTCTTTGTAAACCTTTGAGTGGCATTGATGTAACGTCGAGGTATCGAGGAGCGCGAGTTGAGTGGCTGCTAGATTTGCCTTGGATGCCTTTTTGGAAGTCGGAGTCATTGTGTCTGTGTTTTTGGCGATAAAATTGAGGTCTTGTTTTTTTTTCGTAATTCCTTTTGCGTTTTTGGGGCCCTAGCTGAGGGCTTCAGTTTTCTGTGGTTGACAGGGGCGAGTGAAAGATTTTGAATAATTTGGGTTTTTCCTAACTTTTCAAATTATTATTATGCAGAGGTTTGTGTTTCCAGTAAGTCTGATCTTCTGTTGAAATTCGCTGTGGTGACTCTCTGGAAAGATTTTTGCGGGGCGTCTGTTCAGTTCCCCCGGGGTGTTGTGCCTATGTTTTGGCTTTGGGGAAAAGTTCCTTTTTGATTTTTTCTCCGCTAAGCTCGGACCTACCTTGAAGTGTGCCCGTACTTAAACAAAGCTACAAAGGAAATTTTCTCCAAGCCAGAACATTAGGCCAACACCCCCGGGGGAAAATGAACAGACACACCCAGAAATCATTCGCAGCAGAGTTACCCCCGAAGTTGACAAAATCGACTTATAGGAACTACAAACACTCTGCATAATTTGTAATTGAAAAATTTTGGAAGACCCGAAAATTTTTCAAAACTTTCATCTCGTCCACTGTCAACCCCAGAAAATGAGCCCTAGCTTAGGGCCTCAAAATTTGCAACAGGAAATTTCAAACCAAAACAAACCTCAATTTCATCGCCAAAAACTACAGACACAATACTCCGACTTCCAAAAAAGGCTATTTCAAGGTCATTCCCCGCAGCCATCTCAAAACGCAGCTCCCCAGTAACCTCGACGTTACTAATCACTCAAAGGTTTAGCGGACACGCCATCGGGGGCACCACTGTGATAAGGAGGTGGTGTTTTTTATCAGAACACTGACGATTTTCAGAAACAAATGTCAATTTCTTAATGACCCAATACCTACAAAAAACTCACAAATAACCAGTGGGCAACCTTACTAAAACTTTTTTTCAAGGGCTCGCCGCATTTGAGGGGGTCAGAAAAAAGGGAAAAAGAAACTTTTGAACCATGCCCAGAACCCAGACCCCCCAGAAAGTAGGCCCGCCAAAAACTCACAAAGCCTGGTTCCCATGAGGGGCCCTATCCTGGGGGAAAACAGTGCTCCCAAGCTCTCGGAAATTTTCGCAAAAAACCTCTCTAAACTCTTGGGACTATCTCCCGCACATCCAAACACTCGGGGGATCTTCCCAATCGTATTCGCAAAATCAACACAGGGAAAAAGAAACTTTCCCCTTGACGTGATTCCCCCATTCCCAAAAGGCCTACTACACAAGCCATCGAT